TATATATATAATTTATATCCACATGCATATAGGGGTGTGGAATTTTTTTTTTTTAAGTACTTATCCAAGGACTGAAGCGTTGGCCTAATCTACTTGTCCCTCATAACAATCTACTTGTCCTGATACAAAAAATTATTTTAACCACAACCATATTTAGCAGTGCTAAGAAGTGCTTCTCATTGGCCAGCGCCGTCAGGTGACCGCACTGACCAATGAGTATTTGCAATTTGCGGGCGAAATTCAGAACACAGGGCTGCACTGGACTGCAGTATGGGGTACAGATAGTGCCCCCGTACTGGTGGATGGGAAGGACCGTTCGCCAAAAGGAGAGTATAGCAGGGACAGAGAGGGGGCCAGATTTGTGCAGGTAATTCCATTTTCCTAAATTACTTGGGAAAAAATATTTACCCTTTAGGGCTTGTGATTTCAATTAGGCTACATCTGCGTGGCAATCGTTGAGAAAAGGTACATGTACCTTCTTTTACGACACGCACAGCGTGGTTTTTTTCAACCGCGATTGTACGGGCGGTATCGCGGCGGGAAAACCCTGCGATCTGCCTGGCGCGACTGGGGTGCTACACATTGACTTTGGCTGTACTATTCTTTCTTATAATGCAAGTCTATGAGTAGACAGCTAATTGCAAACAGTGCATGTCTAACTTATTTCAACAGCTTTTAAGCAGAAAGCACAATTATAGCACTGCACCACTAACAGCATCATGTAGCACCTAATCAATAATTCTCTATTTTTTTTTTTTAATATAATCAACAAAAACATTAAAGAGCAAGCAAGTACAAATGTGAAAGTCCTGTCAAAAAAAATAGAGACTCAAAATATACACTCACTGAAGATATGCTATACAAACTTTTGGGAATAATGGAAGGTGTTAGTTTAGAATTAAGTTGTTGTAGAATTACACAGGTCTTTTCATATGCAGACAGAGCTATGTCTTACCGTGGCCTTGTCTAGGGATGTGTCCATAATACCGCCTGATCCATACTTTGCATTCAGTTGAGCAATAATGGCAGCCTGGACTGCAGGATCTCTGGACTGTAAAAAGTGAACTATATATTAGAATGTCTTCACACATTTGCAGAAGTTGAAGCACAGAAAATATATGACATAACACATTCAAAGAGGCATGCAATGTTTGACGTTGTTGCAAGTGAGCAGTAAACCGAATGGGAAAAGTCATATTATGTAGGAGCACTATCATCAGCATTCACAGGATCCAGTTATTCTGATATTTATGCTGAAAGTCCGCTGTGTTATATCAATGTCATTCTTTTGCAAAAGGATGTACTATAAACAGTTGCAATTTTTTCAGCCAACTGTATTTGAAAATATTCATCACTGCTATAACAATCAATTTTTTAGCATTTTCTGTTATAATAATGTCCTATAATATATTTTCTTTCACTGATGTTCTTAAAAGTTCTACATAAACCAGCTTGTAATTTAAATTTATATGATTAAAGAGTCACCAGTAAGACATTTAAAACAGAACTCTTTACAAATATTTGACATGGAGTCAGGGCGAGTGCCTAGCATTTTCCAATACTATTTCTAGTCTCCAGTTGTCACAAAGCTATAGCTCAACACCAATCGCTTCTGACCTGAAAGAGTAGGGTTGCAGAAGAATTTGTAAAATGTAAAAAGGTGAATTGTATAGAAGGTGTAATTTCATTGCCCAACCCTCGTTCACCCACTCGAGTACAGCTCTCCAAAAATGTACAACCAGGTATAGCAAAATGTAACTAAATAAAACCTAAACTATAATAATACACAATCTATTCTGTTTAAATACTACAGGTCTATAAACATAACAATAACACTTACATTGGACACCATAGTTGGTTTACACTGTCTCCTAGTGAATGGATCCATTTGCTGTTGCTTCATGCTCTGACTTTCAGCCTAGAAGGGAACAAAGCTCTGGGTGAGAAAGTGTTACCTGACTTTTATTTTATTATCTTTACTGCCAACGTGTACAAATATGTGTATATCTTCATATGTTGGATTTCAGAGCTATTATTGTTGCAAGAAATATACAGCATACACTTTGTTGGCTAATAATTACGATCTTCATAGGTTGCGTGACAAGTGTTTGCATGATCTTCCATCCCTGTCTGATGAGGCTTGGGAACCTGCTTTCACATATGATACCTTCAGTTATTGCTGCCAGGGATAAGCTGGTACAATTGAGATTTTTGCATAGAATATTATTCACGCCATCTAGGATGTTTCATTTGGGCAAACGTCCTTCAGCTCCCTGTTCTCGTTGCTCTGTGGCACATGATCTGGAGCTGCCCTGTAATTAGCTCTTATTGGCATGATGTTACTAAACTTGCACCACACATTCATTGCCCAATGTGCTGTATTCTGGGATATGCTGGTGATCTGGATATTCCTTTGCCCTTAAAGACTCTAACCATACGTTTTCTATGCATAAAAACGAATTGTTAGGCACTGGCAAAGTAGTATTCCACGTTTCATGACAAAATGGAAATCCTTGGTAGACTGGACGGTCCTACTTAAGAAGATGACATATAAGGCCAGAGGTTGCCCGACTAAATTCCAAGCCAAATGGTTGGAGCTCTCGATGGTTAACAATCTTGATAGTGTTTAATATTACCAAAAGGTGACCTGTATTGTGTCCAAGAAATATATCCTTTGTATGGCACAGCTGTTGTGTTTGGCTTTTGCTTACCAATATGTGTCTATGGGTGTTAATACAAGATCCTACAGAATATTTTCATGCACTGGTGATATCACCGTTATGGATATATGTGGTCTAGCCATAAGCATGTCTCCCTACAATAGACTGAAGGGGTTACACCACTGTATTCCACAAATAATGTCACCAGTTATATGCAGTTCCATGGTTTTAAAAGCCTAATAATACACAATATAGGGAACAGAGGTCATAATTGGTTGGTATCTGCCAAAATGTGCCCTGATTTCCAGAATGGTATACAGAAGAAATGAACTTATGGAACTCCAAAGGAGATAAAGTGGATATACATATATATACCTTAGGATTTTAAAAAAGCAACCCATGCAGTGGGGCTACCCCCGCACTGCAAGCATTACATGCTCATTTTGTCTAGGAGGCAAAAATAAAGAAATACTCACCCGATCCCTGGTCCCACCTGGCTTCTAAACCGAACCCCACAGCTCTTCTCCCCCGCACTCCGGCGGTCTATGTACCCGTGACGTCATTACATTTAATTCAGGTCTACCACGTACCACAGCCAGAGCGGAGGGGGAGAGAGAAAATACATTATGCACAATTCACTCACCACTAAAGCTTTCTCAGACTCCACTATGTTCCATTCTCTGTTTCTCTGATTAATGTAGCTGAGAAAAAAAAAGAACAAAATAGATAAGTACTGACAACAGGATATCACAAAATTAAATCTCAAACATTACCGCCAGGTATGTCCAGGAATACCTGATGGCAGAAATATTCTTGGTTCGCTGACGGTCCAGAGCCTCGGCCCTTTCCTCCAATTCATTCAGCTCATCTTGAATCTGTTTTGCCCTGTCTTGGTCTCCAGCTTCCTCTGCCATGGCCTACAATAAACATCAATTAGTATCAGTCACTTCCATAAAGTAGGCAGCTGTATTACATATTTCATGGATTTTTATTTCTATACCAGGCTCTGCTTTCATTTCTTTAAATGTTTACAGCTCCAGCCTATTAACTAAAGCTACACTAATTCTAGGAATGTCTGTCATCTGATCTACTGTAGTGGCGTGGGTGTACAGCTTTGAATCCAATTCAGAGAACACAAAATGGACTGATCTAAATTAGTGAATGCTTTTTCTTTTTTTGTTATAGTAAAGCTTAGACATCGTTGTTCAGAGCATACAGAGCTTTGCTCAAGAATTCAAACCACCTTGAGCTTTTTCATACATTTGAGTTTTGGAGCCTAGAATCAAAATTGACTAACCTATGAGTTACACTTCACACAATTTGAGGACACTATTCTTTAATCCCTTTGTGACTGGAGATGTACACTGTACGTCGCGAGACGAAGTGCCCAAATGACTGCTCACGTACACTGTACGTGATCAGGTTTTTGCGGCTCTGTAATGTTGGTAACCACTGAGAATCAGGTCAGACACTCACTTAGCAGAGGTGAAAACTTCAGGGAAAGGGCCACCTAAGGGTAAAGTGGAGAAGGGAATACCTCCAAAGAGTTCCAAAAGCAGAGCCTAAGAATGCACTGAACAAATCCTCTGTGGTGAGAGGCAGCCAGGGACTGGGTAAAATGGGCCACAAAATCTTGGGTGATTGTAGTAGAAACCCCGATTGACAGGGCAGAGGACCCTGGCCCACTCAGTTGAGCTACAGAGGACGAATTATACTCTATGAGCAGAGGATAACAGCATTCCATGTTTGAAGATGTCAGCACCAGCACTGAACAAACATCCCTGGAACAGTTGTTGCAATGTGAAATGGGATAACCCATTGCAAAAGGACTGTCCCCTCTGAAATGTGCCAACTGGGCGGCTCCTGGGGCTTGGCCCGACCGGCTCACTCACAGAGTGAGTTTTCAGAGACAGGGCAAACCCTGGGGCAATGCCAGAGGCTCTGGAACAAAACTACTTATGCAATCGAGGAAGATATTTTTGAAGCTTTGATATTCTGGACTATTTTTGTAGATCGGCGACACAAATTACTTAATCAATCCCTGCTGTCCATTTTTAAAAGTGTACTCAATCTTCTGCACAGGAACTGAACATTCAAGGCATCTCTATCTTACAGAATTTCCACTGGATTTTTACCTTATCTTTCATAAGCTGTGTCTTCTTCATGGCATAATTGGATGGAGCTTTCCGGAATCGTTCCTTCTCCTTTACAATCTACAATGGAAAAATTAAAGAAAATACTGTAACATATGGCATGCATAGAAGGCTATACATTCAGAATAATCAGAAAGATGGAACTTATTAGACCACAAAAAACACATGCAGCAAATTAGGCAAGGTCAATAGTTTAAATTGGCAATGTAGTTTAGCTGAAAAACTGCAGCTGGTGGCACTAACCTGTATAGTACCCCATGTCTTGCCTGTGTGTGGACAGTAGGAAAGGTTAACAGGCAAGAAAAGCTCACAGGATAGCTTGGGGAAACACAGAAGTGTGTGGAAATCACCTAGCTGCTGCTGCACAAAACAGAATGCACCAGATTGTATGCAAGATTTTGATTTGCACATGTCTGTCCAGCCAGCTAGATTTTGGTAAAGCCTCCCTCCAGCAGTGACTGGCGGTATTTTATGCTGTGATAACAGTTTCACAGCCATGTTCTACCTATCCAAGATAAGCTCTTCCCTCATCCCTCCTTCACCAAACAAAGATCCTTCCCTGGTTTGCAAGGCGCTGTGATCCAGACAACGACATGGGGTTATCAGCACTCCACTAGCGCTTTTTATGAACAGTACTCTTCAAAGTCACCAGATTGGGTTAATGCCATCCCACAGATCTCATTGGTATGCAGCTTCTTGCTACTCGGCACCTTTTGTTCCTCTTCAGCCATTTTAAACCCCTTCCTCTTAACAATTACCTGCATTTCCTACAGAAAGGTCATCTTTATGGTGCATAAGAAGTAACACGTGTAAATAACTGCTGTTTGCTACCTAGTACTAACACTTTTTCACTGGAATGTTTTTTTGCAATGTTCCTTTATATTTTCTATTACAAACCATGGCAACAAAGAAGCACTTCTCTTTGGGCCATTTACTACACACTCTCTTCAGCTTAACTCTGTACAGGAGGAATTTAAAAAAAGCTTGAACATGCTCCCCAGGGGGACTATGGCCTAATTCCTGAAAAACCGCCACCGGTCGGTAACCGGCTACTAAGCCACATCTTATCTGCAGTCGAAGAGACAGGTCACCTTTACATTGCATTAAACCATGTCATGAACGCTGGAATGCTCCCTTGACCACAAAAATACGCCAGCCACAGATAGAGCATGCCACACAGGATAATCCTGAGATTAATAACTTCCTCTAAAAAAAAATAAAAAAAAATCATACTTTGCAACAAGCTGGCTCCTACACATAGTGCTGAGCTTCTAGGTGCTGCAGGGGAGAAACATGAGGGTAGGGTAGTAAAAGGCTCAGACTGCATCGCCACTCTTTGCCCATTCACAAAAGGCCTTGTATTTTTCTCACAGAATACAAGACTAGAGGAAAGGGCGAGGATGCAACGTCTCTCGTCCAGCAATCACAGAACTCCTTGTATTCTTTGAGACTGTGTTCCCTAAAGACTCATATCACCAGGGAAGCCTATCCCACCTCAACCTAACCATTGAACCATCACGTTCTCAAACAATTCATCCCCACACAGCTACCTCCTCATGTATCACAGGCCCCTCCATTTTAGATTGTAAGCACTCACGGGCAGGGCCCTCCTTACCATCTTGTCTTGAATTGTATTGTGATTGTAATGTCTTCCTTATATTGTAAAGCGCTGCGCAAACTGTTGGCGCTATATAAATCCTGTATAATAATAATAATGTGTAGATACGGTTTCTTTAACCCCTTCATGACCGAGGCCTTTTTTCATTGTTTGTTTACATGTTATAATCCAGATTTTACCGGCCCGTAGAAGCGATCTGGCGGCTCACGCTTCTACTGTAAAGCAGACAGTCGGCTTTACAAGTTTAAACAGAGTCCCGGCGGCTTTCTGTTTAAAACCGGGCCCGATGCCAGTGACGTACACTGTACAACACTGGTTATGAAGGGGTTAAGTGGAATAGTTTGTCATGGTCAGATGCCAAAAGTGCTAGTCATAGGGCTTTCGATTGACTATTACTAATAGCATTATCTAAACATCCATAAATATATTTTTGTCACACAGTTCTTATCATGGCAGTTGGCCATACTTTATCTAGAAATGAAGGAAAGTCACCCGAGGTCATCACGCTTCTATTTCCAGTGCTAAAGTCCACCACTTGGCATATGCAGCTACTCCTGTTCCCAGTAAGGAGGAGGCTGCTGTCCAAGAAACAAGGTAAAAATCACCAACTATGAGACAGCAGGGAAGGGGGACACACACCTGAGAGAAGCCTTACCTTACCTTTTGGGAGAAAGTTACCATAGGTATACTGTAAAATGACCAATTAATTTCTCATTTAAAAAAAATTAAATTAGTGAGTGCTTCCTAATGACAGCTACAAACAGGTTCAGAAAAACGTACAATCAAAATGTATTTTTGCAATTCTGCATTGCAGTTATTCACCCACACTCTAGTAGAGTATTTCTATAATTCGTAAGTCACAAATAAATGCCATCAGATACAATTTCTAAATAAAATATTTCAGCAACTTAATATATAATATTAACCAGGGTAGTCGTAAAAAATTGCAAAATACGTTCTCACTTACGTCTTCAATGTCCTGGTCATTGAATTTATGATTCATTGCCTCTTTAATTGTCACCTCTTTTTTGTTGACCTCATCTAATGTTGGAAGCTGCATGCTAGCTGAAAACATCTACAAAGTAAAAACAAATATTTCATTTATTAACAGATTGAAATGGACAATTAAAGCCTCTCAGGATACCTAAAAAGGATGATGGACTCTAAAAGTTAAGGGGTATAAAAACAAAATAGTAGGCATTATACATGCTTTAGGTTTGATGGTGCACTGTTTTTGTGGTTGATCTTTTGCATAAATGGTAAATATCAACTATTTATAGCTACAGGTTTGTAGCAACTCAGCAACAGAGTACATAGATAAAGAAAGGCCTGAAGGGTCAATGTGTACTTGAATGTGTATTTATAGAAGCTTGAGCGTGTTTTGACAGTCTTGTAAGCCGTACAAAACCCACTTTGTGTCGCGGAGCACAATTTTAGCAGAAAATGATTAAAGAATAAGACTATACTGTGTCTTCAGTTCTTAGTCAGCTCATCTTGAAAATGCAGTTCAGATTTGTCACCTGTCCTCGGGAAAGAGGTCCTTTAACTAAAAACGGTTCAGCAAACGGCAACAAAATTAAGGGGGCTGGAGGACCTCAGCTAGATGGAAAGATTACAAAGATAACACTTATTCATTTCAGAGAAGAGAAGAAGTTTAAGAGGGGATAAAATCACAATCCAAATATACCTGAGGTGATCATGTAACTGAGGCCATAATTTGAGGCTGAGCAAGATGAGATTAATTTGTGGAAGGGGTTCTTTACTGACAGAGGCCTGAAAACGTGGATCTCTCTCCCCAAGGTAGTGGTATTAGCAGAAAGTGTTAGTAAATTAAAACACTTTTGGATGTCTTCCTCAGAAAGCATAACACAAGGCTATTGGAACTCTTAAGTGCGTGTATTTCTAAAACAAAAATCACAGGGCCCTTTGTGAATGGTCTGATCATTTTTTTCTCTTTTCAGGTCGAATGTATTGTTATGTAATACTGCATTGTGGCTACTAGATGGCACTATTGAGCTATTTATTTCCTATGCTCCTCAGCTCCATCTAGTGGCCATAAGAATGTTCCTTTCATCCTTATCTGCACAAAACAAAAAGTTCATAGATATTCACAAGACGAAGGGCCCTGTAAATTTGTTATCAATAGACCCCCGAGTGACTCAAACTTACACACACATTTGATGAACCAGATGTGTATTTTTCAACCTCATCAACTATGTAACTATATGTAGGTTTAAAGAGAACTATGGGGCAACCTTTTTTGGCCATAGTTCTCTTCAGGGTCACAGGAGGACATATACTAATGTCCTCTGGTGACCCAAAACAAGCAACAGAAAAACCTGGTTATCAAAAGGTATTGATGAAAACTACCATTTAACAAAACACTGGAAAATAAAATAAAAAGTACATCATGAGTGGGGTGTATAAACATTTTGAATACATCAAGCAATCACATTACATTCGGGGTAAATCACACAAATGTATTACAATTTAGAATCCATATCTCAAAGAAAAGAGATTTATCCAAGATGAGAGACCTGTGCATGTGTGCGTGTGTAAATATATACCTTGTGATGACTTTCAACTAAAGACAAGCATCAGGAGAGCTATCTTCACTCTGACCTTGTGGCAATGGGATATTAGAAATAAGCATCGACTTGTAGAATGCACATTTGTGTTGATACTCTTAGGCACTACCAAAAGGAAGATTCATGTAGATGCTTGTGGTTATCACTTTATAAAAAATATACTTACAGCTTCTTTCCATTTCATAAATTCACTCTCTGTAAATTCTTGATTCGAGACAAACTCCAAGCGAAATACCCTCTGGTCACTGCCGTGTCTGCATCAAAAGAACTGATGTTATTGTACACTATCAGGGCCTTATACAGCAAATCTGCTAACCCAGAGTCCATCATGCAAGACATCAGAAACATAAAAGGTACAAAAATGAGGTAAAGAAACATGAGGTAAAAAATGCTGCGTTACCTTAACTGAAGGCCTTTATTTGTTCTTGTACTACCCAGTTGATAAACTTTTCCTGTTTCTACAACACCAGTGATCTCTGCTACCTGCAAAGGGGAAAGCCATAAATATTTCAACAGGCTCACACAGTAAAACAAAATATCTGGTATCTTATAAAAATACACAAAATATATCTTCTGATAAGACTGCATTAAACACAGATAAGAATTGATAACTGAAAAAAATATAAACCGCCATTTTAGTTGCAATACTTTGAAAACAAAACTGGCTAATTTGGATACTTCAGGGTTAGGGTAAATGACAGTGGTCATAAAAATCTCAAAACTGAAAAATGGAGGCTGAGCAAGCAAGCAAGCTGTCGCCGCCCACACCGCTCTCCTGATCTGTGACAGGAGGTTGAGCGGTGCGGGGAGGAGAGACGCCGGCCGCTTACAGCGCTCTCCTCCTGTAGTGCTTGGCCTCCTCTGACAGTTTCTCTCCTCCCCGCTAGGACACAGAGCAGCGCCCAGCGAGGAGGAGAGATAGAACAGATGCACCGCTATATCGGCCAGAAAATTGCACTTTCTGCATTTTGCTAAAAGTGCCATTTTCGGACAATATATCGGTGCATCCCTATGTAGAACCTCAATAAATTTAGATGGAAAAACATTTTACGTATATGTGAGGGCTAAACATTTACACTAAACACGAAATCTTTAGTTGTGCATGGAGTAGGAGGGTTAGACCCTCAGAATGTTTTATTTCTTTGTTCTTTGTGTCCCTGCTGCAAAGAGTCACTCCCCTATTTGTCCTGATTATCAATGCCACCAACCAAGACCGTAAATGAAATCCAAAATTTTAGAGCTGTCACCAGGGCATGAAGTGAAATCATCCAATGGGAGCAAATGTCCTCAACTTAAGGAGATTTCCTCTTGTTACCTATTGTGACGTGAGGACAGAATAAGCAGGGACCCAAGGACCTACTATATTGTGAATCACAAAGCTCCTCAGGTTTAAAGTATACCCAAAGCCACAGCTGTTTTTTTTATTTGTATAGGAGAAGGGAAAGGTTAAAGCTGCTGTCAGTTTTTTTTGTTTGACATCCGTGTCTCATTAAGACATTTCTATTCACTTCCTGTCCTGTATAGGCAGCAGGAAGTGAATATCTTTAAACTGTGAAGAAAATCCCCGCTTAGTCATAGAACAAGTGTCCCCATTGGAAGATTCCTCTATTCCTATTCTGGTGGCAACTCAAAATTTTGGATTTACCCTTACTTTTATTCTTTGTGAGACTGGGGATGAGGGGAGGGAGACAGCAATAAAAACCTGTCCGTGGTTCTAACCACTCAGCACTCTATCCGAATCTTAAACGTTTCACTTTTAGTTATACTTTAATAAACATGTCTTTAAAGATTTCAGCAAAGGTCTTGGTTGTTAGATTGAACAAAATGAAAGCAGATTTGAAGTGTATTTCCACTTTTGCAGCTAAATTGGGACAAAACATCTACTTTAGAAATTGCTTAATGACACTTAAAAAAGTAAGCAACATTTTTAAAGTGCCATTAAGTGCTTTAGAATTCTGCCTAGCACCCCCCACATTTCACATAATGTTAATTTGGCGGGAAGTTAGGTTTACTCGAATTAGCTCGGTCTACACTGTGTTGGCAGATCTCATCAGTTGTAAACGAGATTTGAACACTGTCTGACCCAACAAAGGGTCAAAGCCGTAGAAGCATTGTATGTTAATGAGGGGAAGTTCAGCCTGACCCCCAGTTTGTCCCGCTACTTTCACACTGCTCAGAGTAGACTGGAATCTAAACCAAGGCCTTCACCAAAGAAATATATTTGTAAAAATTATTTTTAGGTATGCTGCGTGAATAGGAACATAAACATATGGTTTTTACATATTTGACTGTAAAAGTTGAACAACATTTTAAACTTTCGTCTCCTGCCGTGTGGTTTTGAACAACTCCATTTCAATTAAACTGAATGGCAACCTGTAGGTCAATGCACACAAAACACAGCATGAAGGACATGATCTCAATGCACTGCAAAAAAACACACTGGTGGGAATAGACTGTTTAAAAAAAAAAAATCAATATGCTGTTCTCTATTAATGTCGCTTGCACTGAAACATACAGCAAGTTGTATAATGCATTTAGAAACAATTAGCCCTAAAGCATGAACAACTGGTTATTTATGGTACCGGCATAGCATCTAATAGAGGAAAAAGCCGTACCTGTAGAAAGTGTATTCAAATCTTGTTTTGGCTTTTAATTTATGAAGAGGGCAAATTTCTGTTAATAGAACCTATGGCTCCTTCTAGCATCCACATCTTCTAAGTGCCACATTATTCAAAGGCATGTGCAAGCGTTGACAGCTCTACCTCATTTATGACATTAATAGAGCTCTTAGCTAATTAATACATATCTCCCCAGACACAAAAGGACCTTAACATTGGGCAATCTTGAAGAGCAGGTCCCAATCTGATAATCTTATTTCTCTTGTAAATCTCTACCAGTATCACATTACATCTATATTCTAAAAAGAATTTATCTCTTATATTCACCACAAGACACAGCTGGGATTTTGAATCTCTAACCATTGGGTTACAGCGTTATATTCAGGAGTAGGGCACAAGGCAAAAGAACAAAAGCAAAGCCTAGGTAAGCCCCTGATAGTGGCCAAACATTGGCTTCACCCATATATACAAGCAGAATTGGAGCTGTTAGTGGAGTATGAGCTGAGCCAGCCGGCATGATGGGGTAGGCCTGCCCCTGCCGCCCAAATCTACCCCACCTTGTCAAGAATCAGACATGTTGAAGCCTGAAGGTGGTAATGCAATGTAGCTCAGGGTATGAGGAAAGGCCTCAGGTACTCACAAACACAACCACCGTTAAGGTGCCCATACACTGTACGATTCTCGTACGAGAATCGCAGGAAATCACACGACCGTACGAGAATCGGACAGTGTATGGAAGGCGTGCGACCGTTTCTACTGTACGGTCGCACGTCTTCCGTCGAACAAGCAGGCTTGAAAACCCGCCGAGAATCGTACGATTCTCGTCGGGTTAGTGGCCTGCTTGTTCGACAACTGCCGAACGGGCCGGTGTGCGCACGCGCACACTGCCCGTTTGCAGTGATCGGAAGCCCGCCCCTCACTGCGGTCATCGGAAGCCCGGCCCTCAGGGGAGCGGGCTTTCGATGATCGCAAGTACGATCTGCCCGTCCAAGATGGGCAGATCGTACGAGCTTTCAATGCGCTTACGACCATCGTAAGACAAAGGTCTTGCGATGGTCGTAAGGTGTATGGGCACCTTTAGCGGATGTAAAGTCAGATGGCTGGTGGTGGCCAAGTCACTGTAGGGGGGCAGCAGGAACAGACCGAGGACTGTTGGTCCACGTGGCTCTTGAAAGCAGGAGCAGCAATGGTAAGACCATTCCTCAATGCAGACTGACAAGAAAGAGTGCAGAGCGCACATGACACTCCATACAGCCGATGACATCAGCGCTCGATTCATCAGTGTTAATCTCTTCTGTGGTAACCAACATAACAAGGGAATTTAAATGTGCTGATGTTCCAAATAATGAGGAAGCTCCTGTTGCTTGGCCTGATCGGACTACTCGCAAAGTGAGTCTTCAGATACAAGGCACGCTCTAAGGCCATGCCAGTGGCTCTGAACCTAAAAAGTTCCCTACAGCTAACCTGTTACCAGAACGGGTATGGGAAGCACCTTAAGCAGAACTCCATGCCCAAATGTCACTTCCAGGCTAGCCCCGCAACATCCAGTTTAGTGGGGTCCGGCACTCAAAAGCTAGGCTAGGGAAAGGCGGATCCAGACTGCTGACAAGCAGAGACCAGTTTAAGCAGCGGTGAATGAGGAGAGTCTTTGCTGAAGAGAGAAAATGCTAACCAAAAAATTGGTTAGAGCTGAAGAAACGACATCAATTCAGCATAAAAAACTGAGACATGCTGGGAACAGATAAAAGGTTATTATCCAGGGCTGGCCTACAAATTGTTTTGTTTGCCAGTGTTCAAATCCTCCTACAGGCAGCAGTATAACCCAACAGTAATGACTTCCTGTGTCCTTCAATATGCCAGAAAGAAAACTTTAAATCCTGCTTCTTAATCCCACCTTGAAGGTTCAGCAGCACAATGATGAAGTCCATCCCTCCACATAGGAATTATTCCTACTGACAGACTGGCAGCACTTCGAAAAGCAAAAGAACTGTGATTTTACATTCCTGACCTTACCCTTTCCAAGTACACGAAGCCAATATAAAGAGAAACGCAGGTATTTAAACTAGCTCAATTTAACCAGTTGACATCCGCGGTGTTAAACCCCCTTCCCATCCAGGCCATTTTTCAGTATTCAGCGCTGTGGTACTTTGACTGACATTTATTGCGTCATGCAGCGCTGTACTGAAATTAATTTTATACCCTTTTTTGGGGACACACTTACAAAGCAACCAGACACCGTTTTAGCAAAGAATGGCATGTGACACCATCGCTCCAGCTTATGTCGTGATAATCTGACTTTATTAAGTTCTTCAGGCAAAGAAACCGGCAAAGACTTTGGAGGAATTTCTTCTTTTCTGACATGAAATAAAACATACAGAAACATCACATTTTTAATTTAGGTAAAAATGCCAGCATAACTTTACAATTATCACTACTTTATAAACCACATTAGTGACAAAACTAGACATCTATTGTAAGCCAGGCTATTGTGTATTGCACATTTATGACCCCCTAAGCTTACGATTCAGCCAACTGGGGCAGCTTTGCAAAGATCTGATACATTTTTCATTGTAGTGGAGACATAGTCACTTAAACACATACAAATAAGAGGTCAAAAGCAAGATTCATACTGTTGCAGTGCTACTTTAGAGACCGAGTCAAGCTACAATCTTAACAAATCTGCCTACAACCGGTCCATTGCCGATAGTCCTCTCAGCTTTGTTCTTATGCACTGTAAAGACATTCTCCATTAACTTGGAGACATGTATAAAACATACTGCTGACATATAATACAATGAAAAAAATCTACTCTTACTCTTCTTCTTCATCGGACGAGGAAGAGGATCTGGACGAACGATCACTTTTCTCACTAGACTTTTCATCTTCCTCTTCCTCCTCATCATCAGAATAGACTTCACTTGTCTTCAAAGGCTGCTTTCGTGCAATTAGTTCAGCTAACACACAAAACAGGTAAAGGACAGTTTAAAAAAGCAATTATCATTTTTACATTGTAATTCGTATGAAAGGCAACACAAGTACATAAGAAATTATGCTAATTCCTTTAGCAACAAATGGTGTAACAATCCCCCCTATCCAAAAAAAGTATCACTACACATGAACATATGAATGAAGGTCCTGAGTGGGTTACAGGTAAAACAATTTTCTCCTTAAACCTGACAATTTTCAATACTAATAGAACATTGGGTCAAAAAGAAAAATATTTTAGGTATAGATTTTTTTTACACTGGTCCCATGGGCACAATTGTTTATATATCTCTAATGCCCATCATAAAAAGGAGTTTCGATAAACTGATGGAGAAGCCCTTGCTTTAGCAGGTAATAAGATGCAATTTTAGATGAAAATAAAGTCAGGATCTATGCTTTGATCAGGTTTGTCTAAAGCATAATTATAAATAAAAGAAAACAGGAATTGAAAAGGGAATTACAAATTTAACCAAAAGTACATTTATAGTTGGAAATATACAAATATATAATTTTCCTATACCAGTCTTGTTCTTCCTCTTCTCTCTCTCTGCTCGTAACTCTTCCATTGCTTGGGATTTCTTGTCCAATTTTTCATCTCTTTTTGACCGTCTCTCTTTGTTATGTGATGTGACCTAAAAAAAAAAAAATTATGTGAAAATGTTGGCATAATTTCCTAGAAAACATTTCCTCAGCTATCCCTATTTGAATTTAGCAATCCATTTAACGAGGATTCCTGTTCATTCATAAAAGGGGATGCAGAAAAAGAGATTGAGGACCCTGTGTCCTCAATCTCTTTTTCTGTTTTAAAAAGGGAAATATCCGGAGTCTTTGTAAACCACTAATATTTTACCGAAACTGTCAAGTTAAAAAAATTAAAATATTTAACATAAATAAGTAAATAAAAAGAAGATATCATTTAAAAAAAAAGTTTAGAAAAATATATATAAAAACAAAAGAAAAAAAAGTTAAAAAAAAGGTTAGAAACTTTTTTTTCGGTTTTGGCTGACATTCTTTTAATTTTCGGTTTAAAAATTCAATTTTCGGAGCACCTCTAGTAGTTATGTTAGTTGCCAAATTCAATTGTTTCCAGAGAGATTACATATCTGTGTGAACTGGTGATATAATTTTCAAAAAAACAGAAATGTATAGTTTCCTACCTTAAAGCTTCCCAATTATATATTTGATAGGGCCAGATAATAAACTGAAGAACTTTCCCTTAGACCCCTAAAGACTAACCACCACCAAGAATGCCTTCAGATTCCAAGAAAAAGTATGGAATTGGATGATCACCCAGAAGATGCAAGTCACCCATACAGAGGATATACTTCATGCAAAAACACCTAAGCCTGACAGAATGTAAACCCATGCAACAACCTTCTGAGAGCAATTACCTGTGCTTGGGCTTCCAGAATCTGTGTTTGTTTCTTCTTTTCCTGATCATCATCAAGCTTTCTCTTCTTAGATTTCTTCTCTTTCTTCTTTGCTGATTTTAGTTTTTGCTTTATCTCAAACCTAAAAGGAAAAAGATGACAAGCACAATGAAAATTTATATTACAGTTAAACACAAGGGTGTAGTTATTAGAGGACCAGTGCACCCAAAGTGATAATTCAGTTACCTAGAAGGTTCTTGTCCATCATGTGTGGACTTAAAGTAAACCTGTGCTTTGCTAATTCCCCCATACCCAGTGCCACATACTCACCTTTCCTTTGCTCCTGCTTACAAAAACCCTTTGGGAGCCTACACATGATAACATTAGTGCCTGGTGACTGGCCTGCCATTGTTGCATGGAGGGAGTCGCATGCTCCTTTATACCTTGAGGGCCTGTTCACACGACGTCCGTTTTGTGTGCTGACCTGATCCGTACGCTCCTGCACTCAAAATGCATCCCAATGTATCCCTATGTGTTTTATGGGCTACAGTTCTCACGTGCGCAGTCCGTTCAGGTTACGACAGAAAAATACTGCATGTCACATTTTGTACGGTCAGGAAACGCAAACGCGTCAAAAACGCATCCAAAACGCACTGCACTGCAGCTAACTTACTAACAGCCCCACTCCAGCAAAAAACGGAACTGGAACGCATGAAAAACGCGGCCAAAACGCACTGCATCAGTAGCACCGCGTCTGCAGATCCGGACCTGATCAGGACCTGAAACTCATGTGAACAGGCCCTCAAACACCAAGAAGGAGATTTATCAAAACTGGAGCAGACAAAATCCAGACCAGTTGTGCATGGCCTGCAGGGCACCTCTCTAGGGTACTCAAATGCTCAAAAGTTGCCTGTCAAAGCTAGGAGGCAGAAAGGGTTTGATCCAGGGATCCCAAATTTTATTAAAAGCAGACCTGCAATCTAATAGGGTAGCTGACATCTTTTCAAATATCATAACTTCCTTAAACCTGTTATCACCTCATGAAAGTTCAGGGTTTCAGACTTCCGGGTATGGTTTGTTTAGTAGCTGTAAAAGTATGTAATTTGAAGTGGTGCGAAGATGCATGCTTTTACTGGATTTTTAAATGAAAAAAAAAAAAAAGCAAATGATTAAAAGCTTGGGTAACCCGCATTGCAAAGGTTAATACAATTTTTTTTTCCTGGAGGTCTTCTTTAAGGATGAAGATTAAGCAGCGTGGTGAATATCCCTAGTGTGAGAGAAAGCTTCACAATCTGGTAGTGAGATAGGCTTCCTGGGCATGTATGGAGGCCAGGAAGTCATCCTGGTAGAGGGAGAAAACCAACGAGAGGGTAGCTGTTAAAAGGATGCCCCCTTATTTGCAGGAGAGCTGGAATCAGAACAATCACCTTGGCCTTAAAGCAAGCTGCACAAATTTGCTGTAAATCTCTCCTACAGCAATGCACATAAAATGGCGATAGCCAGGGAGTACGGGGATGTGAGATAGACAGCCAGCAGCTACGGCAGAAGAGGTCAGAGTTCGCAGTGAAGGAGGAGGTGGGGCCTGCCTAAGAGCAACCCCGCCTCCTCTTACATCACTGGCCAGCGACCTAAGAGCAGGTGGGGCCAGTGATGTAAGAGGAGGAGGGGCCCGGGGGACGGAAGAGTAGGCGGGGCCTGGCAACCACGGAGGCGGACAGCGCTGACAGGTAAGAGGTGTGCAGCTCATTTGAGACCCTGCAGAGCCCACTATAGAGAGTCTATGGTGGGCTCTGCAGGGTCACTCTCAGGTGGGCTGTTTGGTATATCAGGTGGGCTCTGCAAGTGGCATAACTAGCAATCACGGGGCCCCATACAAAATTTTGCTATGGGGCCCTATGATTTCTAGTTACGCCCCTGCACAAAAGCAATGACAACTTTTAAGTCAGAGAGTAAACAACTTCCTCCATTCTTGGGAAAGGTAAACAAGTTCAGATAAAGATGCCCTTGGACCATTCCCAATAGCTTAACCTGACCCTCCTGTGACACCAAGCCTTCTATGGCTCGAAAGAGGTATGCAGAACACTATAAGACATACCGGAGCCAAAAGTCTGCAAAGGCTAACAGATATTCCCCCACCCTGAGATCTGCAGGTTGGGGGCAAACCTTAAAAGATAGTACGACTTTTCTGCAGGTTCTGAAGTCTTGGATCGCCAAGGTTGCATGCAGCCAGTCGAGATGGATCCCAGCCACATTGCTTTGATTTCTATAAGTCCACAGCTGCTGCATTGCATTAGGAAGGTGTCCCAACTTCAACATTTCAACGACAGCCTGCATGAGACATCTGAAAATGTCTCTTTTTATTGCAATGTTAGGAGAGATATTTTGCTTCAGAGACATGTGCTGCATAAAGCACATCTTCTGGCTCAGTAGAGTTCAGACAATCCAAGTTTGAGTTAAACAGGGAATCAGGAAAAAGGAAGGGGGTACTGCCTGTAACCCAGCCATTCAGACAAGGAGTGAGCAAGTCAAGACAAGAAAGCCTTTCAGAGAAGACCTCAACAAAAACGTAGCTAGGCACAGCACACCTGAAGACTCCAAGGAGGCTTCTGATGCAGCCTTAGAAGGGGGTAGCTCTGAAGAGGACCTGCAGGCATCACAGCAAGTCTGCCACTCACAAAACACAGATGCTGCAAGCAAAAAAACAAACTTAGGGGCAGTAAAAGCAGTGAAGCACAGCCACTTACCACAATAGCAAGTTTTCAGAGCTGGCCTGGGAATTGGTTCTAAATCCTGGCAAGATTTGTTGCAGTGAATTCACAGGATCAAGCTTGGCAAGACACAGGGTGAAACAGTGAAAGCAGTGCAACCAGGAAGACACAGTACTTGGTAAAGAGTAGAGAAATTCAGGACATCGAGATCCAACAAGAAGCTACCAGCAACTGCTTGACTGAAGAAATCCACACACAAGAAGTCTTAATCCACCAGAGCTGAAGAGAGATGTACGAATGCCTTAGGACACTAAGCTAAACTGAGTTATACAGCAAGTGTGTTTTCACTTAAAAGAGAACTATGAGGTGAGGGCTTTTCACTCACCTCATAGTTCTAGCCGACCTGTGACAATGAGAACTATGGGGAAAAGCCCTCACCCCATAGTTCTCATTTAATGTCCATAGCTCTTGTGGGTGGTGATATAGCCACATGCATATTAATCAATGGTACTCTATTCCCTCAATCAACAATGGAGGAAACACATTTAAGAAGATAAACTGCTATGTTTAAGGTTTAAGTAGATGTTGGGCTATTTGGTCGGAATGGAGCTACTCTTTTCGGACTCTTAAGCTGTTCTGCTTCCTTTAGTATCTATTTCCTTCTCTTTTTGTCTGTTTTTCCTTTCTTTATGCTCGCACACGTGAGCTGTTTAGTACTTTGATGTTGGACAGAAAGTCTTCCATTTAAATAGATATGGAGGAGATCATAAGAAATGTTTGCTTCAGACATAGGTGGATCCCTATGCCAGATATTCCTCTCAGACTGTTTTTTGTTTTTGCTGATGGGGGATAAATTGGCAAGAATAGGTGGATATATATGTTCTGTTTTACAGAACTATTATATAGTGTGTGTATGGTTTCTAGTGATCCCCTCTTACTACTTGACTATGCTAATGTGGAAGAATCTGAAATGCAATTGCATGCTATACTGATTGTGCATCATGTGCTATTTTATTCTTTTATTCTACTTTGGAAAATTAATAAAATACTTTGAAAGATAAGAAGATAAACTGCCTAAAAACTTACCGTCTCTTGAGAACTTCTCTTTTTTCTATTCGGTTGAAAAGTTCTTGTTCTCTCTCTTTTTCAGTCATCTGTTCAAGTCGAGCCCTGTCTTCCTCATCTCCCATAAGATCATCTCCATATCCATCACAAAACTCCTCCTCTTCAGACGAAGAGTCTGAATCAGAGCTGGATGAAGAACTATTGCTGTCAGAGTCAGAAACTTCACCTGAAAAGGCAAAAGACCATAGTTAGGGTGAAGCTGCTCAAAGCTATAAGAAATTACTTCATAAACATATATGATGTATATAAACACAACACAAAAAAGTAGCACAACTGTAAAAGCAATTTGAAACTGGTTTCTATAGGTAATTCACTTTTACATTTAAATTAACATTTCTCTCCTCGTGGCCCAGGACCATGGAAAAAGAAGCATGCTGGATATTTAGGGTGGTATACTATTGGTGCAGAAAAAGTAGGTATGGGCTGTTTAGACACTACTGGGTCAGTTAGAAACCTGTCCAGATTATTATTGTTTCTCCCTTTAATAAGCAACACTGAAGGAATTGCCAGTGCCACTTTCTTTCTCCACTGACAAAACCCAAACATTCATGAAGCAAATTCAGTTCAGAAACACAGGACATAACTAGTGAGCATATATGTCTGCTCTATCAAAACTATGGGCACCGGAAGCATAGTAGAAGCAAAAACTCTAAAAGTGAATACTGTAAGCAATTATAGCCATTTATCTATTCTACAGAGTTCTTCAGTACCCAGATTAAGTGATGGGTCATGGGACAGTTCAGAGTGTGGAAAGTGACTAAATGTTTGTCTAATGTTAAAATCATGCAGGTATCATACAGATCACACTACGCTTAGAGATTCGGGAACAGGAAAGACGTTTTAACATACTAAAAAAAAAAAAAACACGATTCACAAAGTATCAACAAAAAAATGACGTAGTCCTTTTAAAGCAGAACAGTGCTGCTGAAGGTTCCTCTTCCCGGTTGGGAATCTTCTTTCTTCTCCACTGTCTGGCCACAGATGACATAACTCTTGTGCATGCCCACAGGGGGTTATATTGTCCCACACACAGCTACTCTCCCGGCATCTGTATATTTTATAAATATATATGTACTGATAAAATATTGATAACAGGCAGGAATATAGTAATCCACAACGCTTACTGCTCAGATTCCGCAGTCAGATTCATAATAAAAGGAGGAACCTCCAGGTGCTGGCAAAAGGCTCGCTTCCCCCTTCCAAAGCTCCCCAGAACAAAAGGAAACTCTCTCCTTACATGTTTTGTTCTGGGGAGCTTTGGAAAGTGTATGCAGTTCCATGGATTGAAATACAATTTGGATATATTTGGGAGGAACCATTGAGTGCGGCTCTTCTTGGACAAAAAAAAAAAGGCAGGAATAAAGGTTTTTGCTGAAGAGACATACAGAGTCTCTTGCCATAAAACTCTACCAGCTACCTTTTTTTTTAACTTTAGCTATACTGTAAAAAGTTCACACAAAAAATATCTGTCCTTCAACCAAGCAAAAGATTTAACAAAATAGGCCATACATATATATGACCTCATCTACTAGGGATGCGCCGATACCATTTTTTTGTATTTAGTAGATATTTATATGCACTTCCGCTAGCATGGTGCCAGCTTCCTGGGCAATCAGGAAGTTGAGCAGCGTGTCATTACCCGCCACTTGGCTTCGATTGTCTGAGAAATAGACTCCATGCTGACTGCCCGGGAAGCCACCATCCCAGCCAATCAGGAAGCCGGGCGGCGGGTCATTACTGGCCCAAATACTTGGTATCAGTGCATCCCTAACATCTACCATTAACTGTTTGATAGAACATACTACTCAACGAGGAATTAGGGGTCTTACATACACTGCTCCATAAACAATACCGGTTCTTGGCTATTTGCTATCACAACTCTAAAATGATGAACTGTAAATCATTTTAGCCAGTTCTCTATTTGCAATTTAGGATGTCCGTTTTCCATGTGATTTCACATAGGCATATCATTGAAGTGAAGTGATCCAATTATCATAGGTATGTCCCAGTGCTTCACGCCACACATCCAAGTGATCAATGAATGAACTCTCATTGCATTCTGTTTTTAGATTTTACACAGTGTCCCAACTTTTTCTGGAATTGGGGTTGTAGATATTTGTCCCAAATTACAGTCAAATAAATTTCAGTAAAACAAAGCATTTTACTTACCTTCCTCAGGTGCCGAACTCTCACCAGAACTTTCCTTTCCAGAGCTGCCAGAAGAGGCTCCCTTGTTGGCCAACTTCCTTGTTCCCCCTTTCTTATCCAAACCCTTTCCAGATTTGAGCTTTCTCTTGTTTTTTGCTCCCCCGACAGTCCACTGAAAAAGTTCAAAAGATTAAACACTATTGAGTTA